TCGTTAATCTAATTATTTTCTAGATCTATAAGAATCGGTAGAAAATAACCCTCTAAATTGAAAATCTTGAATAACATCCAAAGTCCTCGTTAATCTAATTATTGCTTAGACCCCTAAATCTGTCTCTTATACACATCTAGATGTGTATAAGAGACAGCTCTCTCGGTCGCGCTCTCTCACTCTCGCTCTCTTACTCCTGTCTCTTATACACATCTAGATGTGTATAAGAGACAGCTCTCTCGGTCGCGCTCTCTCACTCTCGCTCTCTTACTCCTGTCTCTTATACACATCTAGATGTGTATAAGAGACAGCTCTCTCGGTCGCGCTCTCTCACTCTCGCTCTCTTACTCCTGTCTCTTATACACATCTAGATGTGTATAAGAGACAGCTCTCTCGGTCGCGCTCTCTCACTCTCGCTCTCTTACTCCTGTCTCTTATACACATCTAGATGTGTATAAGAGACAGCTCTCTCGGTCGCGCTCTCTCACTCTCGCTCTCTTACTCCTGTCTCTTATACACATCTAGATGTGTATAAGAGACAGCTCTCTCGGTCGCGCTCTCTCACTCTCGCTCTCTTACTCCTGTCTCTTATACACATCTAGATGTGTATAAGAGACAGCTCTCTCGGTCGCGCTCTCTCACTCTCGCTCTCTTACTCCTGTCTCTTATACACATCTAGATGTGTATAAGAGACAGCTCTCTCGGTCGCGCTCTCTCACTCTCGCTCTCTTACTCCTGTCTCTTATACACATCTAGATGTGTATAAGAGACAGCTCTCTCGGTCGCGCTCTCTCACTCTCGCTCTCTTACTCCTGTCTCTTATACACATCTAGATGTGTATAAGAGACAGCTCTCTCGGTCGCGCTCTCTCACTCTCGCTCTCTTACTCCTGTCTCTTATACACATCTAGATGTGTATAAGAGACAGCTCTCTCGGTCGCGCTCTCTCACTCTCGCTCTCTTACTCCTGTCTCTTATACACATCTAGATGTGTATAAGAGACAGCTCTCTCGGTCGCGCTCTCTCACTCTCGCTCTCTTACTCCTGTCTCTTATACACATCTAGATGTGTATAAGAGACAGCTCTCTCGGTCGCGCTCTCTCACTCTCGCTCTCTTACTCCTGTCTCTTATACACATCTAGATGTGTATAAGAGACAGCCCCTAAATACAGCAAATAAACCTCTAAATTGAAAATCTAGAATAACATTCAAAGTCTTCATAATTCAATTATTTCCTAGACCCCTAAATATAGCAACGAATAACCCTCTAAATTAAAAATCCAGAATAACATCCAAAGTCCTCGTCGATCCAATTACTTCCTAGCCGCCTAAACATCAGTAACAAAAATCTACCACCCATTCAACCCTTCGCTAAGCATTTACATCCAAGTGGTACATCTGGTTCAAGAATCATTCGCCGTCAGAAACCAGTCGAAAAATCATTCGAAAGTCCGTCGGAGCCCGTCATCTATCCGAGGAAAAGTGCGATCGGTACGAAACGGTTCGTCCGCAAACAATCGTATCCCTCGTTCCCAATGTTCTCCAAACGGTTCGTCCGGGTGGTCCCGGGTGGTTCTGGCTAGAGAAGAAGAGTTCGAAAGAATTACGATCGATTTTCCGTGGAATATCCCGAATGAACGAACGAACGAACGAACGGTGGTAAGCAAATTCGGGGCGGTGTTTGCTCCCGGTGTCTCGAGTGGTGTGTCTTTCTCGCGTAGGGAGCTGCCTGACGGACTCCTCCGGGGCCACGGCAGGAGCGGTCACGTTCTCACAGACATAATAATAATTCGGAACATCATCATCGGGACCTCCCGTGCACGATGACGTAGCAGTTCGCCGCGGCTAAATCGCTCCTTTTGTCCGGATACGACGGCGTCCGTTCTTGACAGCCCTTCGCCAACTGACAAGGGATGGACCTCTGCTCTCTCTCTCGGTCGCGCTCTCTCACTCTCGCTCTCTTACTCTCGCTCTCTTATTCTCGCGCGCTCTCTCTCGCGCGCTTTTGCACTCGCGCTCTCGCTCTCGCGCTTTTGCACTCGCGCTCTCTCACTCTCGCGCTTTTACTCTTGCGCTCTCTCACTCTCTCTCGCGCTTTTGCACTCGCGCTCTCTCTCTCGCGCTTTTACTCTTGCGCTCTCTCTCTCGCGCTCTCTTTTTCGCGCTTTTGCACTCGCGCTTTTGTACTCGCGCTCTCACTCTCGCGCTCTCTTTCTCGCGCTTTTGCACTCGCGCTCTCACTCTCGCGCTTTTGCACTCGCGCTCTCTCTCTCTCTCGCGCTTTCTCACTCTCGCGACCTCTTTCTCGCGCTTTTGCATTCGCGCTTTGTGCACTCGCGCTCTCACTCTCGCGCCTCTCTCTCTCGCGCTTTTGCACTCGCGCTCTCACTCTCTCGCTCTCTCTCTCTCTCTCTCTCTCTCTCTCTGTGTGTGTGTGTCTCTCTCTTGCTCGTTCTCTTCGCTAGCCGGGTTTCAGTAGCTCAAATACGGAGGCCTCGATTTTCGGCCCTCCCTTCCTCCCGCTTTCCTCGCCTTTCGTCTCGCCTCTTGCTCTTGGATCGCTGATTCCACTTCGCTCCGTTGTCCTCTTCTTGTTCGTTCCTCTTCTTGGTCGTTCTCCTCGTTCCTCGTTCCTCGTTCCTCCTCCTTTCTCGCCCTCTGTCCGACTTGTTCGAGAACCCTCACGGTGAATGATTTCGAGAGAACCGGGAGACCAGGAATGCGTCTTCGGGAACGCGGATGATAACAGTCACAGTCGAGTTGCGGCAAATGACTGTGCGAGACATGCGCCCGGGGATGCGATTCCCCCGGTCGAAAGGGTTGCTCTTCAATTACTCGAAGGTCTGAGGATTCCTTTCGTTGTTGTCGAGGCCGTATTGCGGGACACCGGGACACCTTCGCGGTGGCAAATCGAATGATGGTTTCTTTTCTTTTTTGGGGGGGAATGGGGAAATGATGGATGAGGGCGTTACGATTATGTATTCATAGGTATTCACGGGTTATTTAATACGGATGGACGAAGTTCTGTGTTTTCAAGGAAGCAAATTAGGCGGTGATATAGATTGTATAGTGTATGGATAAATAATAAATTGTTTTTGTGTTGACAATCTTTTGTGTCATCGAGAATGTACAGGGCGCGATGAAATAAGACCGCGGAGTAATGATGATAGTATGGTAATAAATAATAATAATAATAGTAATAGTAATAGTAATACTAATTAGTAATACTAATTGATACTAGTAATAATAATAGTAGTAATAGTAATAATAATAACAAGATGCGCGAGCGACGAAATAAGACCGTGGAGTAATAATGATAGTATAATAATAATAATAATAATAATAATAGTAATAATAATACTAATTAGTAATACTAATTGATACTAGTAATAATAATAGTAGTAATAGTAATAATAATAACAAGATGCGCGAGCGACGAAATAAGACCGTGGAGTAATAATGATAGTATAATAATAATAATAATAATAATAATAGTAATAATAATACTAATTAGTAATACTAATTGATACTAGTAATAATAATAGTAGTAATAGTAATAATAATAAATGCGCGAGCGACGAAATAAGACCTGTCTCTTATACACATCTAGATGTGTATAAGAGACAGTACTAATTGATACTAGTAATAATAATAGTAGTAATAGTAATAATAATAAATGCGCGAGCGACGAAATAAGACCGCGGAGTAATAATGATAGTATAATAATGATGGTATAATGATAGAGAGAGTATTATAATGATACCATAATATAATAATAATAGTAATACTAATTATTAATACTAATTGATACTAGTAATAATAATAGTGGCAATAGTAATAATAACAACAAGACGCGCGAGCGATCATTTATCGTTTATCACGTAGGAATATCGTTCGTTTAACACATTGATTACTGTGTGAGTCTTGTATGTGTGACACTAATTTTTAACTAGATTTCTAAATTTATTATCATTGTAATATATTGAACAAGCCGAATGTTACTAGGATCTGTGCCATGTAACAGAGTTAAACGTAATATTTCCAGTGGTAAAACTTAACTTCCTAGTTTCGATTTCATTAATCAACCCTTTGCACTCGTCCGACGACCCCGACTCATCGCTTAAAATTGTTATATAACGTTACAAAACAATTTTAACATTGTCGAATTTGTATTTCAAGAACTGTTAAAAGCGTAATTGTTTCACGAGTCGCAATAATTCGATTTCATACATACAAAGTGCGCTTAAATCATAGTTAATCCTTTGCACTCGAGCGGTGGCTCTGACGCACCGCTAAAATTGTTACACCATGTTTCAAGATGAGTTTTATACATGATCAAAACGTAGATATAAAAAATTGTTAAAAGCCTAACCGTTCTATGAGTCACAAGACTCAATTTCACATGCATGAAATGGAAATATATAACATATAATAATAATAATATAATATAATAATATATTATATATTTTTAACCCTTTGTAATAGAAACCATTTTTAACTGTATATTTGAATTAACTTTTCTGACTTATATTATGTATTATATTATTATATTTAATATAATAAATACTATAAGTCAGAAAAGTTAATTCAAATATACAGTTAAAAATGGTTTCTATTACAAAGGGTTAAAAATATATAATATATTATTATATTATATTATTATTATTATTATATTATATATTTTTAACCCTTTGTAATAGAAACCATTTTTAACTGTATATTTGAATTAACTTTTCTGACTTATATTATGTATTATATTATATATAATAATATAATAATATAATACATAATATAAGTCAGAAAAATTAATTCAAATTCACAGCTAAAAATGGCTTCTATTACAAAGGGTTAAAAAGCAATTTGAAAGTACACATATCGTGTCGCGTGGTCCGTCGCGCAACGACGAACTGAAGAAGCCCGTCGGCCGAAAAGGACGGAAAAACGACGGCTCCGCGGAGCGTGGCAACAAGGAGATTGTACTAATTTACGTGTGTCCAATATGTTTTGCAGTTACGCGGCTGATGACCGCCGCGGGGGCGGGCGCCGGGACCAACATGGCCGGCTGTTCGGTGGGCCAGTCAATGGGCGACGTGACGAAATCGTCGGGCATGGGAATGGGCGTCGGCGTCGGCGTCGGTGTCGGCATGGGCGTCGGCGCGATGCAATTCCCCCACCTTCCCCAGAGACGAAAGCGTCGCGTTCTGTTCACCCAGCAGCAGGTTCACGAGCTCGAGAGGCGGTTCAAGCAGCAGAAATACCTGAGCGCGCCTGAACGGGAACACCTAGCCTCCCTGATACACCTCACGCCCACTCAGGTATGATGTTTAAATGTTGCCTATATCTTTGTATAGATCCCGGTTCGCAGACGCGACGGGATCTACGAGATCTACGAGATCTACGAGATCTACGATCTTTCGATTCGAACAGATCTCTATGGGGGAATCGGTTTCGCAATCGAATTCTCTATGGGGGAATCGCTGACGAGGCCCCGAGGAGCTTATGGGGGTGAGAATGAACTTCCGCGACACGCGTGGGGCCCTAAAATTTAAAGGTCTGAAGGGGTTATCGTGCGCGAGGACGCGGGGATGTTTTCGCAACCGGTTCCCATAGGGGATGGAGGTTGAGAACTAAGCTAAGATCGGTCGAATAATTTTTATTAATAATATTCGGAGGTCGGAATTGAAATCGGCTGATTTGAAGACATTAATTTGCGATTTTTTGAGCCTTTTGCGGCCCGAAAGTATGAATACAGTAATGTCTCTCTAATTGACGCTAAGATTGTCCACGAAAATGGACAATTTTGGAAAAGGAGATACGATTGTTCGAGCCTCGTGGCTCGTTTTTTTATGGTTATCAATTGTCGACAACTGTAAAAACGAGTTGCAAGGCTCGAATAATGGTATCTCATCTTCCCCAGATTGTCCATTTTTGTGCACAATCTGAGCGTCAATTAGGGAGACATTACTGTACATAGTAATGCTAAAAAAAAGAAAAAAACGATGACTGAACTTCTTTCTTTGTAATTTTTTCGTTCGAAGGCAATTCGGAGGCCGCATATCAGTTTTTTTTACTTGACTCCGACGATTTTTGGCATCGACGTAGTAGGAATAAACTACATAGGCGTGGGACTAGCACGGGGAAATTCACAGAGACCAGAAATTTGGCATTTTTCCGGGAGAAATTACTACGGTGACCCACAAAAGTGTTTGTACATCTTTTAAAGCGCAATAAATCTTTCAAAACTGACCTAAACGACTTGAATTTTCTCTTTTTTTAGGTAATAGAGGGATTAGACGATGGCTGAAAAGCTCTTTTTTTTGTGATTTTGCTGTTACTTGGAATGAGGAGAAAAAGATTAGAAACCCTTAAACCCCTAAAAAGTTAAATAAACGAGAGATTTTTACTTTTTCTGCCATTCCAAGTAATAGCAAAATTACAAACAAAAAAAATCATTTCAGTCATCCTTTAGTAGACTAATCCTTCTATCATCTAAAAAAAAGAAAAATTCAAGCGAATTAGTTCAGTTTTAAAATAGTCATCGCGTTTCAAAAGGTGTACGTAGAAATCGCTTCGATCGAAATCCACGATAAAAAAGGCGATCTATATATTAACCCTTTGCACTCGAGTGGCGACTCTGGGGCGCCACTAAAAATTGCTACACTATTTTTCAAAATAACTGCAACAGTATCGGACTCGTTTCTATCTAAAAGACTGTAAAAATTGCAAGTCCTTTACTTGCCAATAAGCTTGCATACGCATAAATCGCAACAAATCGCATAAAACAGAAGCATTGTAGATCAGAAAATATGTTTAAAATATAATTAAAATCACTTAAAACAGAAACATTATGGATCAGAAAATCAGTTCAAAATATAATTAAAATAGCTTCGAGTGCAAAGCATGGTTAAATGTTCAAGTTCTTTAGCAATGATAACTTCGATCGATCACAATGATCGACCATTTGCTATTGTACTATAGTACTCTTTAGGCACATTTCACGTGTCTTTTCGTTCTACGAATCCGCGAAGTCTCGCTACCTATAAACTAGGATTATGCACCGATCGCAGCTGCAACGCTTGGCGCGTTAACGCATCGGAATGGCAGTTGCATATGAAAATCGAGTCGGACGAGCCGATTTATTCTGCAATTGTCGATATTTCTTCGCTCGATACTCCCGAGGATGAAAAGGGCCCGGCTAGACGGGGGTAGCCGGGCTAATTACAAGGTAGCAACGGCTTAATCGTAATCGTCGTGCAGCCAGCGACGGCGGATCGCTCGGATCGGTCGGTCGGGGCCGTTTGCTCCGGCTGCGAAGGAAACACGGTGCTCGAGATTGTGCGCGAACGCGAACGCGAACGTACCAACACAGGGCGGCCGGGACCGCACACGGACACGGCCGTGCATGACGAGGATTAATTGCTGAGAGGAGATTAATTGCAGGGAGCAGGTGGTGGGTGGGTACGCGTGGGTGTATCTACGTCTCTCGGCCAATCGGATCGATCGACCTCAGGGGCGTTGGTTGCCTCGGAGTTGTTAGCCGGCAATGTCGACGGGTAGACCTTCGATTATCGCCGTGAACGCGAGATTTTCAATAATATTCACCGCATTGCCCGAGACGATTTATATTTCAAGAACGTGCGCACGCATAAACAACGACAAGGCCGGCCACGAGCCGACGTTGTCTTTTTCACCGTTATGCGAGAGAAACGCACGAAATTGTGACAATCGCGAATTTCTTACGGAATGTTAAATACCGCGATTTTAGTTAATATTCGGACACTTTTCCACGGCTTCCATTTCTCTGACCCGATCTTTTTACCACGTCTCTGAGACGTGATTATCGTTTTTCGCCCGATTATCCGTACCTCGGACGTGAGGATCATTTTTGCCACGATTTTTCGACTACGTGACTACTCGTGATAAGCATTTCTGAGTCGATTTTCTAACACGTCTCCCAGACGTGGTAATCATTTATGGTTCGGTCTTTTGACCACGTCTCTCGGACGTGATAATCATTTTTGGTCCGGGTTTGTATCACGTCTCTGAGACGTGATAATCATTTCTGACCCGATCTTTTGAACACGTCTCTCAGACGTGATAATCATTTCTGACCCGATCTTTTGGGTCAGTAATTTCTGACCCGAACTTTTCACGTTTCTTAGACGTGACAATCGTTTCTGGCCTGATTCTTTGACCACGTCTCTCAGACGTGATAGTCTTCCTTGGCTCGAGTTTGTACCGCGTCTCTCACACGTGATAATCATTTCAGCCTCGACCTTCGACCACGTTTCTCAAACGTGATAATCAATTTTGGCCCGAGTTTGCACCACGTCTCCCACACGTGATAATCATTTTTAGCCCGAGTTTATACCATGTCTCTCACACGTGAGAATCATTTTTGGCTCGAGTTTGAACCACATCTCTCACACGTGATAATAATATCTGCCCTGATTTTTCGACCACGTCTCTGAGACGTGACAATCATTTCTGCCCCGATTTTTCGACCACGTCTCTCGAACGCGATAGTCATTTTTAGCCCGATTTTCTGACCACGTCTCTCAGACGTGAGGGTGAAACTTTCCCGAATTCCGATCGTGCCAGAATTTTTCCCGGCACTTCTCAGCGCTTCAGAGAGAGGAGTTCTAAAATCCAATTTGGAACGTCGATTCAGACTTCCGCGATTTTCTTGAAAATTCGCCGTTGTCACGGAAATAAGCTCCGCTTCGCTTTTTTCGGTCCCTCGACTGAAAGCGTCGCGCTAAGTGTCGCGTGCCATTTTCGGCGACCGCACAATCTGACACGTGCTCGAGGCCGGCTAGCGCCGAAAGTGTTGAGCAAATCGCGGAACGCGATGTCCATTGCGTTAGGAATAGCCCTCGAGGGTCTATGTTTGTTCGAGACACGATAGACGGAATTCGGCCAGGTGGGACGCGCGCGTCGTCGAATCGGCCGCGCCGTTCCGGCCGAGCGACGCGCAAATATTATTTCAACAACCCGCCGAAATTCTTCGGCGTTTCCGTCGAGAACGATCGAACGAACGCCGCCGTAACGGCTGGCGGCAAATTGGCTTCTTGCGACGATCGAGCGATCCTTTTAGCTTTCACGCCGCTGTCCGAGAATTCCAATCGCGACGAACACGAGGCAGAAAAGCGTGGACAAGAATTATAGCGCGACAGCTATCAAATTGCGACTAGAGCAAGAATAACAATAATATGAGGCTATAGTCCGCGCAAAATACAAATTATATTAGATAGTAAAAATTAGTCAAAATTATATGAAATGGTAATACAATTAAATAATATTATATTAATTATTAAATAATAAATGTTATTAATTATTAATTATTAAATAATAAATGTTATTAATTATTAATTATTAAATAATAAATGTTATTAATTATTAATTATTAAATAATAAATGTTATTAATTATTAATTATTAAATAATAAATGTTATTAATTATTAATTATTAAATAATAAATGTTATTAATTATTAATTATTAAATAATAAATGTTATTAATTATTAATTATTAAATAATAAATGTTATTAATTATTAATTATTAAATAATAAATGTTATTAATTATTAATTATTAAATAATAAATGTTATTAATTATTAATTATTAAATAATAAATGTTATTAATTATTAATTATTAAATAATAAATGTTATTAATTATTAATTATTAAATAATAAATGTTATTAATTATTAATTATTAAATAATAAATGTTATTAATTATTAATTATTAAATAATAAATGTTATTAATTATTAATTATTAAATAATAAATGTTATTAATTATTAATTATTAAATAATAAATGTTATTAATTATTAATTATTAAATAATAAATGTTATTAATTATTAATTATTAAATAATAAATGTTATTAATTATTAATTATTAAATAATAATTATTATTAAATAATATTATTATAAGAGTTAAATCGAATGAATTTAGTTGTCTGAATATTTAGAATTTAATTTAATTCACACTGAATTTATTCGGTTCATCTCGCTGTTTTTATCGCGATCTGTGCTCGAATTAAAAAATGTATACAATCGTCCCACGCGAAAAGACGCTTTATAATTTCAATAATTTTAAACTAAAAACACGCGGAATCGAGTCGTTTCGAGCGACGGGGTAGATTTAACGCACTAAATGTTACACGATTTACTCGGAAAACAAGCGCGCCGTGTCTGTTTGCATTACGAATTTTATTCTCGTTTTTATTAAAAAAAGAAAAACAGTAGGGTATTCGCAAGAGAAATTGAAATATCAAGTTTTGGGACTGTTCGATAACGAGTACCTTGTG